GAGCCAGCTTCCTGTTTTCAAAGAGGCCAGGAACTGCTGAGGGAATGTTCTGGACGGGCCCAGCCCCTCCTCCACTGGCTCAGCACACCCTATCCGGTCCCGCGGACCTGGTACTGCTTCGGTGCCCAGTACTGACCCTGTGCTACGGGAGGTCAGGTTCCAGATGGTGCCACTGAGGCGCAGAGAGGTGCCACCACCATCCCAGGGGCACACAGAAAGGAAGAGGCGTGCTGGGGGGTCCAGCCCCTGAGCCCCGACCTGCCTCCCCTTAGAGCCCCATGCCCAGGACTGGGGGCTCCCAGACGGGGAAAGGGGAAATGCACCCTCCCACCTTGGACCACCCTGACCCAGCCCTGGACTCTCTTGTTCCCCGAATCCAATTCTCCCATCCACTCCCCGCCTGTCTCACTCATCTGTGTCCCCAGAGGAGGGTCACCACATGTTAATGGAACATCAGCTGCCAACAGAGCTGCCGGCAAAGACGTGGTCTCACCCTTAGGTGGGGCTGGTGGGGGTGCCGATCAGCAAATAAACAAACACATCTGCAGCTGCCCTGTCTGTGCTCCAGCCCTACGGAGCCCCTGGAGCTGCGGACACACCTGGCCCTCTCTTGCCCGCTGTGGTGGCACCGGCTGTTCCCTCTGCTTGGAATGCCCTTCTCTAGCTCGCTAGTGAACTCCTCTTCATGCATCAAAACCCCATCTCCAATGCCCTCTCTTCCTGGGAGCTGTCCCAGGTCCCTCCAGGGAAGGGGTGTCTGTGGATTCCACCACAATGGCCTTGGGACTCTCTGCTCTGCCCCCTGAGCAAAGATGGCTCCTATCATCACCTCCGGGCCTTTATTGTTGCTTTCTGTAAATCCCCCCAATCCCAATCCCCCAAAGGGTGTCCCAGTGAGGCACTGACGGCTGCGAGCTGATTCACTGCTTCCTCCCGGGCCTCTTGCCCGGCCTAATGCTTTCTGGGGACTTTCCTGGCCTCCCTTGAACCCCCAAAATAAGGTGGGGGGAGCAAACGTAGAGGCGTGTGTGTGGACAAGTCTGTGCACACCCTGGCGTGAGTTCAAACCCCACATCTTGCACCCACACCTGTGAGACAGGGGGACATCTTACCTGCCTCCCGTCAGAATTGGGGGACGCTGCGTGTGAACTCCGTGCAAGCCCTGAGCCGGGGCCGTGGGCACCCAGCATGGTCAACACGGTTGTACCTTGTGTGTGTGTGTGTGTGTGTGTGTGTGTGTGTGCGCGCTCTCACGCGTGGGTGGGCCTGTGTCCGTGGAGGTCGAGGCTGTGTGTGCCCAAGTTCACTGGCCCATTTCTGCGTCTCTGTACGTGCATGTGCATGCGTTTCTGCGTGTGTGTGTGTGTGCATGTGTGTATGTCACAACTGCCCCCACATGGAGCCCAGTGAGTCTAAAACACAGAGAGACCCGGCCCCTCCCTGCAAAAGGTGCATCTAGGGGAGGGAAGTTCCTGGGAGCAGCTGGGAGGGCAGAGATATTGCTGGGGTGCTGGGGGCACAGGGGACAGTGGCAGGGTGTGTGTGCAGGGGACAGCAGGGGCCGCAAGGTCCGGAGGAGGCGGGGTCTGGGGTGGACCAGCCAGGTTGAATGGATGGCGCGGTGTGTGGGAGCCTGGGTGGCTAAGCCAGAGCTGAACTTTGGGGTGAAATGGCAACAATTCTAAAATATTCATCAAGCACCTAATGTGTGCCCAGGAGGGCTCTGGGCTAACAGACACCACACCCGTGAACCAGTAAATATATAACTCCGAGGCACGGGAAAGATCAGGAAGCAAAAGGCATCAGGATGGGAGTCGGGGAATTGAGGGGCGCTCTGGCCCAGAGATAGGGAGGGCACCCCGAGGAGGTGACTTGTGATCTGAATCCTGCTGGGGAGAAGGTCCTGGGCATATCTGGGGAGAGGGAACTCCAGGTGGAAGGCACAGCAGGCGCAATGTCCCTGAGGTAGGGATGAGCTGGCAGAGGGGCCCCATTCATGAAGATCTAAGTCCTGAGTAGGGGAGGGGAGGCATCAGGGGGCAGCACTGGGGGCGGGGAGCGAGGCCACCAGGATGAGCTGTCCTGTAACTGGAGCCTGATAGGAACCCTCCACCCCCACCCCATCCACCCCCAGTGCTCCCTGCTCGGGACAGAATGTGCTGGAAGGAGAGGCCAGCGGCGGCTGTGCCTGGCGGCTGGAGCAAGGCAGCTGGAGAATTCCTGAACAGCAGCCCAGCTGGGCCCCTTGCCAGCCAGGGCAGAAAACAAGCGGAGGGCGCCCTGCCTGCCTGTCACCCCCGGGGCCCCCGGGGCCTGGCCCAGCCGGGAATGGAGACAGAGATGGTGAAAAGAGTCAGAGACTGACAGAGACGGAGAGATGGTGAATGAAAGACAGAGACAAAGAAATAGTGACAAAGAGATTCTAGGGGGCCTGGTAACAAGTGGAGGTGGTGACACTCCCATCGGAATCCTGGTCCACCCGGGGGTGGGCGGGAGTCCCCTCCAGTCAGTCAACACCCCGCCCCATGGCTGCTGTGTGCTGTGTGCCCTGCCCTCAAAGCTTCAGACAAATAAATGAATCTCTAAATAAAAATTTCAGAGAGTGATGAGGGCTATGAAGGCAGTAGGCCAGGAAGATGGGAGCGGGAGTAACGAGGAGCGGCACCTGTAACCAGGAGGTTGGGGTGTTCTAGGGAAGATGAGGCTAAGAGGTGAAGAGTGGCCACTCACAGAGAAAAGCCTTTCAGCAGAGGGTACCACATGTACAAAGGTCCTGAGGTGGGAACCAGCTTGGATTATGTGGATAGCAGTCAGGGATGATGGGGGGCTGGGAGGAGGGGTGGATGAGTGATCTGAGGGGGCCTAGGGAAGGGTGGACTTTATCTTGGTCACCCTCCTCTATGCCCTGTGGGCCTCACTCTGTGTTCAGGGAGTTCCCTGAATTCTGGACACTCCAAGCCAGCTCCATCCTGATTTCCATTTATCTGAACCGGATAATCCACCTCTTAAGGGATCAGGTTCCAGACAGTCTCGGAAGTCTGCCAGGAGCACCTTTTGCAGAACTGTACCAACGTCTGCCCTTGCCCCAGACACCTGGTCCTTGTCACTTCGGGGACATGGGTCTGGAAACTGGGATCTTGTGTCTTGCACACCTGGGCGACGGGGAACTTACCCCTCCCGAGGCTGTTTTGGAGGTCTGGGTGACTGTGCTGTGGGGTGCATCTCCCCTCTGCTGGGCCCAAAGGAACCCCGAATCTGATGGGTTCAAAGCGGGGCCCGAGGTCAGGTGCGGAGGGCAGACGCTGTTGGACAGGGAGGGCTGGGGAACCCCCCAGAGCCGGAAGCAGGTGGAGATCAGGACCCAAATTCAGACCAAGGGTGGGAGTCCATTGAGGCTGCGGCAGGCAGGCGCCCCAGAGTCTCGGGTGAGGAAACTGGCTCAGAAGCAAGTGACTTGCCCGTATGTCACTCAGAAAGCTAAGCCTGAACCCATATCTGCCAGGGTCCAGCCCCTGGGTGCCCCCCTTCCTCCTCCCTGCTCCTCAGCCCTGCCAATGGTCACCCCAGAGGACCGTTAACTCTCACTGCCCGGGGCGAACGGGTGAGCACAGCGGGGACTCTTAGACGGCGTTCTGATTGGGCCCAGCCCCCTGGGGCGGGGCCTCGGATCAGGGGCGGGGCCTGAGCGCCTCCGGGAGCCTACCTGTGTGTGCCTGATGACTCCGGACCGTGCATGAGTCACCTCACTCTGTTGGACACGCCTACCCGCAGCTCCGGAAGAACGATAACGTCCAGGCCACAGGGCTGCCAAAAAGCCCAGTGGGGGTTCAAATAAATCCTGGTACACGTGTGCCCAGAGCAGCCCTATTCACGACGGCTAAAAGGTGGAAACGACCCAAATGTCTATCGAGGGGTGGAGGGATAATCAAAATGCAGTCCATCCGCGCTCTAGCCTATTATTGGGCCGCCAGAAGTTAGGAAACATGGACGCGTGCTGCCACGTGGGTGAAAACACGAACGTTTATGCTGGGTGAAAGCCGCAGGCACAAGAGACCACACGGGTCATGAGCCCGTCTGCGAGAAACGTCCAGAACAGGAAACTCCAGAGGCAGGAAGCAGATGGGCGGGTGCAGGGCGTGAGGGAAGGGGGTCGGGGGCGGTGACTGCTAACAGGGGCAGGGTCTCGGCACTAAAAGGTGATGCGTGGGGACGGGTACACACCACACGTGTGAACGCCCGAAATGCCACCCAACTGTACACCATGAAGAGGGTTCATTTCATGGTATCAAGTCGCATCTTAATAAAAACAAAAGCAGTTCGAACTCCAGAGAAGCAAGAATCACCCATAACCGGGGCCCCTGCCCAGCCATCTGGTCTCTGAGGCCCCTGTCTGCCTTCCCCCATTCCAGCCTCCAGCCTCTGTGGCTGCACTAGCGAAGGGACATGGGGTCCAGCTCCACCCTGAGCTCAGCCTCCCTTTGTGTCCCTGGGCCTCAGTTTCTCCTTCTGGCCAAGGGGCCCCTCCATCCTCCTCAGCGAGGAATTCAATCCCTGAAATCCTGACGCGAGGTGGTCATGGCCACTCAGCTCCCTTGGCACTTGTGGGAAATAAGCCAGTAAGCCCAGACTCTTTTTCCACACTTTTATTTATTTTTTTAAAAAAACATCTGTAAAAAAGAGAACAATTTAAGGCTTATCAGAAATGTTGAGTCCCTGGAGGGGGCCCTGCCCCCAACTAGGGCTGGGACTAAACAACCAGGGGCTTGCCCGGCTGCCCCCTCAACGCATTTGTCCCTCCATGATACAGGAGGGCTCCAGAGGCTCCCTGGTCCCGCTGTGTGACCTGTGACCCCAAGGTCTGACCTCTGACCCAGCCGGCTAAGCGATCCGACTTTTGATCTCTGCTCAGATCATGACCTCGTGGTTCGGTGAGTTCGAGCCCCCAGTTGGGCTCTGCGCTGACAGCGTGGAGCCTGCTTGGGATTCTCTCTCTCATTCTCTCTCTTTCTCTCTTCTCCCTCTCTCTCTGCCCCTCCCCTGCTCCTGCTCTCTCTCAAAATAATGAAATTTACAAAACATACAGAACCAAGGCGGCCACCCAGAAGCCCCACAGACTTCCGATGACCCGCCTCTCTGAATGCCTCGTTCCTGGGCCCTCTCTCGGGCGGCCTTTGCCATCTGGCCTCCGTGGAGGCGCTTGTCTTCTGAGCCCGGTTCTATAACGAAGGGGGTGATCTCCAAACATCACTCAGCTCTGACCTTCTCCGACTTCTTCCTCCTCTTGCTTGTCTGCCGGCCGGGCCACTGGACACAGGCCACCGGCTCAGCCAGAACGCTCTTCGCTCCAGGACGCCCTCTCTGCTCCTGTCTGGACTCTCCTGGTCCTGGGTCCCTCCCTCTGGTCCCACGAGACCAGAAGCACTGATGTCTGGCTATGTCTCTCTCAGACCAGAGGTTCCCGAGGGACCTGAGCCGTGTCCACAGGCCGGCGCAGACAGACAGACAGGATCCGACAAGGGGCCTTTGATGCCACAGGAGGACCAGTCCTCATCAGTCAGGCTCCAGACTGGCTCTTCCTCCGTTCCTGGGTCACGCCGGAAACCCCTGCCCTGTTCGGGAGACTTGGATCCCCCAACTGCTGCGCAAGTCAGGTCGGTCTGCCCTCGATCCCTGTGTCCGCGGAGGCCCGAGGCCTGTGTGCACCTTCCTCCCTCGAAGCAGCCGCTTGCTTCTCAGCAGGTCATGCAGCGTGGCCTCATGGCCTCGGAGGGCGGGTTTGGATCCTCCTGGGACAGAGAATCCGGTCAAGCCTCACGGGAGGCGCCAGTGACTCCGAAACACCCCCTCCCACCCTGCTCATCTCCAACTCCTACATTAACCCTGGAAGCAACATGCGGAGCAGACCGGGATGCAAGGGGGGGCTCAGGCCCTAACTGAACGCAAGCCATTAACATTTAAAACTCATTTGAGTCCTCCAACCCCGACCTGGGCTCCCAGGGCCTGGAGAGGCTTTTGGGACCCTCCCCCCAGCTCACCTCGGAGTACAGGGGTGGGGGGCGGTAGCGGAACTCCTGGATGTAGGCGAAGAAGGGGCCTTCAAGGTTGCTGTTGGCGTCCTGCAGCGGTGGAAAGGGGCTCTGCCCCGTGGCTGCCATCCCCCCGTCTGCCACCACCTCCGAGTACTCAGGAGGAGCTGCAAGTGAGAGACAGGGTGGGTGAGGCTGGTGGGAAAGAAGAGCCCGCAGAATCAGGGGCGGTGGCCGGGAGCCCGCTAGTGCCAGTTCTGGGGCTGCTGGGCTGTGCGCCCTCGGGCTGAGACCCCGGGGGAGGGGGGGGATCCGCAGCCACCGATGTGATCAGCACTGTGTGCTTTTACAGACGGGGCCACGAAGGCCGGAGGGAGGGGAGAGTCAGCCTGGCACCCGCCTCTCCGCCCAGCCCCCCCTTCCCCCAGGCGGCGGCAGGACGCAGAGCTCACCCTCGGGCCGCTCCGGCAGGGCCCCGAGCCCCCAGTCCAGCAGGAGGCTGGCACGGCTGCCCACACTGGACGAGCGGCTGCCGAAGGGGTGCAGGGGGATGGTGCCGATGACCAGCGGCAGCTCCAGGAGCAACTTGGATGTGCCAGGGATGTCCACGCAGACCTGGAGGGACGGACAGTGAGATGGTGGTGGTGGTACCCGCGGCCTCCAGGGGACCCCAGTCTGGAGAACAGAGCAGGTGTGGCCAGCCCCGCCTCCTAGGACCATACCTTGAGGGAGTAGTCCACGTGGAGCACCCGGCAGTGCAGGATGGAGGGACCCACGGGGGGGATCCGCAGCGCCCGGCCCTGCCACAGCGCCCGCCGCCCGGGGCCCACCGGCTCGCCCGAGAGACTGGCCACGACTGCTCGCTTCTGCTTGCGGGCACCTCGGGCCATGAAGGTCTGCGTCTGCACCACCGCTGCCCGGGGCAGCACTGGGCGCGTGGAGCCGTTGTCGATCTCAGCGAAGACAGGGATCACCTCGCCTGCAGTGGGGAGCGGGGGTGGGGGCGCTCAGTTTCCCCGTCTGCAGCTCTGACGTTGGCCCTCTTCCCCAACTGGCACCCCTCGCCTGGTACCTGGTGTGTAGCCCTTTCGGTCGATCTTGGCCGAGAGGGAGACAAGGCCTCGACTGCTGTACCAGGATCGGGCGACTTTCTCCAGGGCTCCCGCCTGAGGGGCCTGGTGGGGTAGGGGAGAGGGATAGGAACGGGTTACTTTGTGCAACCCACAGAGGCCACCCAAGGAGCTTCCCGGCCACCCGGGGCAGAGGGGGCATTTGGGGCAGGGTTCTGGGTGCTTCATAACCACCAGCAGCTACCTGTAACGTAGAACTGCAGATAAAACCCATCCTAGAAGGCTGAAGGTAAAATGAACAAGCTAATCACTTGGTATGTGATTAGTGCTCAGAAACCCATTCCCATCACAAGTCCTGGCTATCCCTTTTCACAGATGAGGCCTCTGAGACTCAGAGTGAGACACTTGCCCAGAGCCACACAGCAAACGTGCCCGTGGGATCCACACCCTCTCCACTAGACTCCAAAGGCATTTCCGTGCCTGCCTCCCTACTTGCCAGGGCCCAGCGGTGATTCCCACTTTGTAAAGGGAAGTGAAGGGGTGAGGAGCCAGTCAGGGGTCCCCCAGCAGCCAGGTCTCCCCCCCCGCCCCCACAACGCTCCTTTCCCACCTCCCCTGGAACAGCCGCTCACCAGCAGGGCAGGCGTGTTGATGTCCACAGGCTCAATGACAGTAAATACCTTCCTTGCCCGGCGGGCAGGCACCCAGGGCCGGTGCAGGGTAGCCTTGATGCAGTATCGGACACTGCCATGTTTACCCTCGAATGAGGTCACCAGGGTCCTGGGGGGTGGAGGGAAGGGACTTCAGGGAGCGAGATACAGGTGGGGGTGTGTGTGACCCCAGAGGACTTCGGAGGATGAGAAACAGACACAGAAGCCTCCCCCCCCCCGCCCCAGGGAGCAGTGCTGGGGTGCTGGGGTTTGGAGGGTCCCCAGACACCGAGCAATGGAGCCCTAGACCTGAACCGAGCGGCAGGCTCAGGGATTCCCCTGCAATCCTGCGCCCCAGACACAGGACTTACGGCGGCAGCTGGAAGGTGAATGGGAACTCGTGGCGCCCCGGAGGCAGCGTCGTGGTCTCTCCGGTGTCTGTAGGTAGAAGCGAGAGGGGGAGGCTCAGCGGCCGCTCTAGGAGCGCGCAGCACGTGCGCCGCGTTGGGCAGCGTTGGGGCAGCCGGCCGGTACCTGGCGCCAGTAGCGTGGCCCGGTGGCTCACGACCTCCACACGCTCGCTGTAGCTCTGCGTGTAAGCGGTGCTCGAGCCGGCGCTGCGCGACTCGGTCCAGTGCACGTGGGCGCGGCCGCGCGCGCGCAGCTTCAGGGCGCCCACGCGCGCCGGGCCCGCCAGCTCCAGCAGCACTCGGCCGGCGACGGCCTGGCCGCCGCTGAAAACCGGCTCGGCGCCCGCGCTCGCGCCATCCAGCTGCACCACGAACGCCTTCACCTTGTCGAACAGCATCGCGTCCGGGATGCGAACCCGCGACGCACACGCCCTGGCCTCGAACCCGCGACGCGGCGGCACGGCGGCGCGAGGTGCAGAGGCTACAGCCTCAGAAGACAAACCGGCCCGACGTGCGCAGGCGCACTTGCAGACCAGGCCAGAAATTCCTGTGCGCCGGGCGCCGGCGCTGCCTTTATACGGCGGGCGGGGCGGGGCGAGACACAGGCCCCACCCCCACAAGGGAACGCACCAATGGTGAGGCGAGGGGCGTGGCTCCTGCCAGGCGTGGAGCAAAATCTCAAACGCCCCAGCCGCACTCTACCCTCTTGGATCCCCGGGCTAGTGACAACCTCTTAGAACCCAAGTTTCCATGTTTGTAGAGCTGGAAGAATATCCGTCCTGACCTCAGAGTGTTGTGTCTAAATCACTGTGCAGCCCACGCTAGACCCCTCCCAGAGCCTTGCTCCCACGTCATCAACCCACTCCCCACAAGCCGCCACTCTGTCGCGCCTCAGCGCTTTTGCCCAGGCTGTTCCCAACACTCGAAGTTCCTGTCCCAACTTGCAGCCCCCAGCAAACTCCCACAAGCCCCGTAGGCGTCGCCCTTGTGCCCGCTCCTGGCAAACCCTCCCCGCCCCCCGGGTTCCAGTCCCCTCCCAGACAGCCGAGTGGAGGGGACATCCCAGGAATCCCTAGGGTCAGGGCTGCGGTGTGCCCGCGAGACGGTACGACTCCTCTCTGCGCCTCAGTTTCCTCAGAGAAGAACTTCCAGGGAAGTTTCTAAGGCAGGAGTTCCCTCGTGGCGGTCTGCAGGGCGCCGGCGCCCTCTGCTGGCAGCGAGATGCGCAGCTGCTCCAACCCACCCCCTACCCTGGCGGCCACATTTGAGGGGCCCTCGGACGACCCTTGGGACCACCCCTGAGGTCTCGGAAGCCCCAGTGGGAGGAAGTCATAACCGGACACGGTAACCTGCAGTCAGCGTGACCATAGGGGCACTGGGGTCAGAACAGTACGTAAGGGAGGGGCAGAGCTGTAGACGCAGTGATCAGCTGGGAGGAGGGGGCGCTGCATGGAAGAGGAGACTCCGACTAAAATGAAGGGCTAGTACCTTCTCCCAGGGCCAAGTGGAGCCCTGGAGGCTGTAAGGCCAGGAGGAGATGGATGATGAGGTGAGTCCATTTCACAGATGGGTCCCCAGAGGCCCAGAGAAAGGCAGGGCCTCACCTGAGTCTACCCAGCCTCCCGTGTCTTAATGAAGCAGCTGGTGAGTGGAACCAGGGGGTGAGACCAGCCCCAATTTCCCTTGAGCCTCAGGGGAAGGGAAGTGCCTCAGGGGGGCCCCTTCCTGCCCCGCCCTAGGGCCCTTGAAGTCTGGGTTTCCACAGCTAGAAAGGGGAGAGCCCGGGGTGCCCGGGTGGCTCAGTCAGTTGAGCATCCGACTTCGGCTCAGGTCATGATCTCAGTTTGTGAGTTTGAGCCCCAGGTTGGTCGTGCTGACAGCTCAGAGCCTGGAGCCTCCTTGGGATTCTGTGTCTCCCTGTCTCTCTGCCCCTCCCATGCTCATGCTCTGTCTCTCAATAATAAAACCGTTAAAAATTAAAAAAAAAAAAAAGGAGGGGGGAGGAAGCCCGCACCTGGGGTGTCGAGACAAGACTAAAAGACTGAAAGCATCTGCTGTGACAGCGCTGGAGAAAAGGGGACCGTGGGTGGGAAACCAGGCCTGAGCGGCCTCTTTCCTCTGCCCATTTTACAGAAGAGTATAGTGAAGTCTGGCTTAGCTGGAGCTTCTCCTTAGCTCAGCTCCTCCTGACGCACAGACTCACCCCTGGCCTGCTGGGGACTGGCTGTGTGGCCTAAGTGTGGGGGACTGTCCCCAACCCAAGTCTCCTCCCTCTCTGGGATGCAGACCTTCGTGCAAGTATCACGGGAACTCCCAGCCAAGTTAGAACTGGCTCCTGCAAACGCTGGGAGTAAACTGAGGGCACGTGAGACGGGGGGGGGGGGGGGGGGGGGGGGGGGG